TATTGACGACCCAAACAATACCGAGAAATAACATATAGTGACGCATTCCGTTAGTGAAAATAGGGTTTGTAACGACAATATATTTGGGGTTGTCACATATGATCTACCTGGTTGTTCCTTACGTGATAGATCATGAAGCATATTTTGAGTTAGTGATGAATCTAGACTAATAATTAGTCATAATAAATATTAGACTAAAACTTAGCGATAATAATGCTAGGTTTCGTCGAAGGAAAATGGTGTCGTTAAAAGCGAAGTGTTGCCCTAGTTTGGAATCATCACTTTAACAAATGAGTGTATAGTTACTTTCATCTTACACATAGACATAAATTGTTTAATATAAATTACGTGCTATGTGTGCATATTATTTGTGTTCTTGATATATGTGTTGGATGAACAAAGATATACATGTTTTATTTGTCTTAAACTATATATATATATATATATATATATATATATATATTATACCTATAATTATGATGAATAAAAGATGGGTAGATTAAAGATGAGATAAATGATGAACGATGAAATATGAGATGAATGAGGAACGATGATATATGAATGGTAAAATATAGTGATAAGCGATGAGCCAAACGATGACCCAAGCGACTAGCAGAGTATAGATGACAACCACAGACTATTATAGACAGTCCAATGGAACACTAGCAGGCTCGCAACCTGTAGGTGTTGTAAACTATGTGTTCATCTGATGTACTCTAAAAACCCATTGACATGTATTGCAGGTGGACTCCCGAAAATAATACTGTCGATAAATGAGATAAACCCTGACAACTATGGACTTACCGTCTGTTGGATGAACCCTAACAACTATGGACTTAGTGCCTGATATATAAACCTTGACAACGATGGACTTTGTGCCTATTCATTAGGACAATCCCTAGGAATAAATAATAAGGGATAAACGATTCATAGAGGATATACTTAAGAATGTAGAAGATAATGGGGATGGGTAAATGATTTAATTATTTGATGATGAAACATAATAACTATATTACTGTGGGTTGAAAACTCTATGTACTCATCAGGTTTCCCAACCTGACCACTCGGTTTATTTGTATCACAGGTATCGATATAAAGCTACACTACACCGGGAGATTAAAGAGGTGTAGATCACTAGTGTAAATGAATAGAAGTTGTGTTTATGCTTATGTTTCTGTATTGAAGATGACATCTCAGAGTTTTAAAATGAATAAAATACATTTCTTCGGAAATGCTTTGATAACATATTTATCATGTTTTTTTGGGAACAAATTCCGCAACACTTTTCTTTAAAAGGTTGCTCTGGTTTGAAAACAAAGCATAAAAAATCGATCTTTTTTTGCTGTGAAACTGGGGATGTCACAGTGTGTATATTATCTGTTTACATGAGATTTATGATGGATGAACGATTTAAACATTTTTTTATGATTTAAATTGTACATGTATTTTATATCTACAAACATGTTGGGTAAAACACATGTAGATGAAATAGTTGATGTGTGATGAAATAAAATGATGAGAGGCCTCGATGTTTACGATGATACAGTCATCTAGTGGAATATAAATGACAATCACATACTATTCTAGGCAGTCCATTGGAACGCTAGCATGCTTGCAACCTGCAGGTGTTTATTTGAACTACGTGTTCACTAGGTGTACTCCATCCCATCATGATTGCCTTATTTGACATGTATTGTCGAGGAATCCCAAAGCAATGTTGTCCACCCCGATGAAAATTCTTAGGCTAGGTCCCTTCTAATAGATGCTTTATAGACTTAAAGTGATGATAACGGGAACGGATAATCAAGTTGAATGATTTGATGAAAATAATAAATTTATTTATTGTAGATTGAAAACCTTATGTGCTCACCAAGCTCCCAAGCTCGACCCACTTAGATTCTTGTAATACAAGTAGTGACACAAGAGCATAAATGCGATGATCCGATGAGAGATCATGGATTATAGGTCAGTAGAAATAAATAGAATATTGTAAGGCCCATGTTGTTTTTGAGGCTTATGTAGTTTTGTGGTTTATATTGTTTTTGTTTATGCTTTTGATATGTATTGACAATGACATCCTGAGTTTGTAATATAATGAAAATACATTTATTCGGAAATGCTTTGATAATTTCTTTATCATATTTTAGGAACAAATTTCGCAACATATTTCTGTAAAAGTATACTCTGATTTTTTAATAAAGCATAAACAAATCGGTCTTTTTCTAACTGTAAAATTGGGGATGTCACACACACACACACTCTATAGATTATATATATATATATATATATATATATATATATATATATATATATATATATATGTTGGAGCATAGGGAACTAAACGATTGTCCCAAGTAATGAGATGAAGATAGATGAAGAATATGTGCGTACAAAGCATGTACACATATTAAGAGTATGTGAGAGGTATACGTAAGATACATGTAGCAGAACATGTATGTAAACACATAATACATGGGCTTAGATGATAAATGGTATTTTATAATACCCAAATAGAGAAAATAGATATAAGCTAATTATATGCAATATAGTTATAAGAGTATGTAAGTATGTCTAACTATCGTTAGTATTGTGTATAATGATATATGATAATAGTCATAGATAAAGATTAAGTACTTAATGAGTTCAATACTAGAAAAGAAATATTAGACAGTCCCTTGACGAGACATGGAGATAAACTGTCATCGGGGACAGTGTTACGTGATGAGTCACATAATAAATATAAAGTTAAAAAGATAGAGGTTCCTTCGGGAACGAGAGATAGATATTCCTATGAGAATAAGAGTAAGGTTTATATGGGAACAATAATAAGGTTCATACGGGAACAAGAGTAAGGTTCCTTCAGGGACAAGAGTATGGTTCCATGGGAACAAGAGTATGGTTCACATAGGAACAAGAGCATGGTGCCTTCAGGGACAAGAGTATGGTTCCTACGATAACAAGAGCATGGTTCCTTCGGGAATAAGAGATGTAAGGTTCTTTCGAGGACAAGGGTATGGTTCATATGGGAACAAGAGTATGATTCCTATGGGAACAAGAGTATGATTCCTATAGGAACAAGAGCATGGATCCTTTAGGGACAATAAAGGGAAGGTTCATTTGGGGACAATAGTATGGTTCATTCGGGGACAAGAGATAAAGATTCCTTCGGGAATAGAGTAGTGGTTCATACGGGGACAGAGAGTATGATTATTTCGGGAATGAGATTATGTCTATATGGGGAAAGAGATATATGATTCCCTTGGGGAATGTAGATAAATGATTATTGCGAAAATCAAGATTGAGTATTGCTAGATATAGAAAGGTTCCTTGAGAAGAACAAGATAAAAGCGTTGTTTGTAAGAACTTAGATGTAATATGTGATGGACTGAGTATAAGGAATCCGCAAGGGATTAAAAAAGTAAGAATAAAGATTAAGGATCCACGAGGGGATCATAAGATAGAAAAGTAAAATCGGGTGAGTGTGCTTAATAATGAAAATGGGATGTTGTTCCCTTATAATAGAGTATGGGATGAGACCACTTGGTCTATATGAGAAAAGTATGTTGATGCATACGAGATAGAGAGATAAATAGAGTTAGAGTATGTGCAAACTATGAGGAAATCCTGTTAAGATGCTAAGAGAAGATATAGAGACATAAATAGAGTTAGAGTATGTGCAGAGTATGAGAAAAACCTATCAAGAGGCCAGGAGAAGAGTATAATAAGACCATGTTAATAAGCTAAAATAAAGAGTAGAAAGATGAAAGATAAGTATCGGCTAAAAGAAATAGTAGAAAGATGAAACATAAGAATATGCTAAAAGAAAGAGTAGAAAGATGAAAGTTGAGAGTGGAAAGAGCATGATAAAACCATGTTAATAACCGTGTATGTTATGAAAGAAAAAGATTAGTTGATAAAGTATGAAAAGAGAAAAAAAAATATAAAAAAGGATATAAAAATAACTCACTAGATGTAGCAACCATGGTACCAGAAGAGATGAAAGGAGCACAAGGAAGAAATAGATAGTTGGTTGCTATTTATTGTAATTCCTTATTGTTCATATAACAGATAGACTTTATTGTAAACCCGTGATTTTTTTCATGGGAAGTAAAGGTTTTAAATTATATAAAATTGTGTACTGTAAGAAAACTATGATAATTCCTATGGATATTATGTGTAGTAAATTTGGGTTGTTACAATATGAACTTTGTTGAATACGAAGTAAGGTGGAAATAGTCCCCAGATCGCAACCATGTAATAAAGCAGAAAGCTTTATTGTCAAAGCAACTCGATAGTCGTTTACCGAAAATAGAAGTTCCTATAAGTCAACATAAGGATAAGTAGTATATTTCTCGCACATAAGATAATGACATAGTAAAGCGTGACATTCGACACCCATCAACATGTTAACATAAGCACCAAAACATGATGCCTTAAACATGGCCGCACATTGTGGTGTGTGTTGTAAAGGGGTCATGATTTTTCGACTGAGTTTAAGAATGTAGGATAGTCACAACCGCTTCCTATGATATGTTATGCTATAATAAAAAAGAATTATAAGTAGGCATTTGCTACATGTTTCATACTTAAGTATATGTTATAGAGGGCATTCTGGAACACTATTCCGGATCAACATTTTGGAATACCATTATGAAACAGTTGTATGTATTCCAGATGTGTTCTACATATTCCGGACATGATCTTATTTCAGAATTGTTTCAGACACTTTAGAATTCGGATGTTTTAAAGATATGTTGTTTTAGTGCTCATATATCTACATATAATCTTACAATAGCCTAAAAACTACTAAAATTCGTAGGAAAATAAATAATACCCATGTAATCGCATCAAATCATACTAAATACACATACATATCTACTTTTTAACATATGATCATAAATAAAGATATATAATTATAAAAATAAAAGGAAAATATCCACAAAAAAATTAATCAATTCATTGCTAGATGAAGACATTGTTTGAGTTGGTTTGATGTCCGAATGTTATCTGGAATGAATGTGAGTCCAAAATGGATTCAAAATGTTATTTATAGAGGTTCCAAATTACCGGATCGATTTACTATACCCATTTCGAATATGAGTCAAGAATGGATTATTCCAAACCAAGTAATCATTTTTCATAATTATTTTTATTGCAATTTAAAAAAAAAACCATTAAAATAGTTAGATTACTCAATTTCGCTGATCCCTAACTTCTTCGACAGGTCGCAAAATGGTAACCCAAAAAAACCATTTAAGTAACAAGTTTCTCCGATGGATGATGGTGGTTTTAACAAGACAAGAAATAAGTGAACCAATCAAAATAATACAAACTTGTTAGTTGAAGGGCTTTTCTGAAAATTTCAAAAGTTATACTGATTGACATGCCCTATAAAAGCCAAACCCTAATGGGTATGTCTCCCTCTCCGACTATTCTCTCGTATAACAGTTCCAACAGAAACGCCGCTTCCATATATCCTTCGAGGTAAACCCTAGTTTCCACTTTCACTAACACACAAACAGACACAAACACACACAAACAGATATCGTCTACGGATAGTCATTCTTATTCGATCTTTTTTGTTTGTGTAGTAGGATCTCGTCGTTTTTTTGCTGACTATTTTAGTTTCGATTAAGTTTTATGTTTGTACGATCTATCAGCCTGTTTTCATGTGATTATTTTGTCATTGTTGTTTTTGCAATGATGATTTGATCTTGTATGTTGGATTTTCGTTTGATACCAGAGTGATTAGTGTTCTAGTGCTCCAAATCAGTGAAATGCTTGTTAACTCATGACGTTTTCGTATTGTTACTATTTTATTTTACCTGTACAACATCAAAATCAAACTCACTTGTCAGGTGGTTGTTCATCTCGTTGTAATCACTTGTTATGTACACTAAGGAATTGCGTAATACATTTCTAATGCGTTACTGCCTTTGTGTGTATGAGTTTTTCAAAGGACAATTGTCGATTTTGTAAAGATATGCTGGGGCTCTGATTTAATGATATTGGCTTATCAAACGACCATAGAAGTATTTGTTTATCTATCATATACCAGAAGCTTAGATCATAGGTGCCAAAACACCACATTATGCCAAAATAGCCAAATCAGCCATAAATAAAGAAAATACTCCTGCATAGCCTTCTAAAATAAGCGATTCATAGTAAAGTAGAATCAACTCCACTAAGCCATGTCTTCAATTTCTTTGTTTTTCTTTGAAGATGAAGATGAAAGCAAGATACTTTTTAATATGAAGTGTAATGTTTATAGCTTTATTTATATTGCTTTGTTGCAGAAACTTGAATTTATCAACATGGTGAGAGTTAGCGTTCTGAATGATGCCCTTAAGAGCATGTACAATGCTGAAAAGAGGGGGAAAAGACAGGTCATGATCAGGCCATCTTCAAAAGTGATCATCAAGTTTCTTATGGTTATGCAAAAACACGGTATTCCCCTTTTATTAAAATTGTTTTTTTTTTCTTTCAAAAAGTAAATGATTAAATGACATGACTGTATTTTCAACAGGTTATATTGGTGAATTTGAGTATGTTGATGACCATAGATCTGGTAAGATTGTGGTTGAATTGAATGGGCGTTTGAACAAATGTGGGGTTATCAGTCCTCGTTTTGATGTTGGAGTTAAGGAAATTGAGCCATGGACTGCAAGACTTCTTCCTTCAAGACAAGTTAGTATTTTCAATTTTCAACATTATACTAAATAAATTATTTATTTTATTAACAAAAAATAAAAATACTTGCAGTTTGGTTACATTGTGTTGACAACATCTGCTGGAATCATGGACCATGAAGAAGCTAGGAGGAAAAATGTTGGTGGTAAAGTGCTTGGTTTCTTCTACTAGGGATTTATGGGATTTTGGTAATGGTTTGTTATTAGGGTAGGGAGTGAAAGAAATTATATTTATGGGATTTTGTTATCAATGGTTTTGATTTGATTCAATCTGTCGTTATTCATGTTTTTTTTTTTGCTTTTGAATTCTGTTATAATGTATGGATTTTGATCGACTGATTCAAATGGTCTCTTGATCTACATAAATTTTGAATGCAGCCATCAATGTTTGGGAACTACAGGGCAAAAGAGTAATAATATATTTTTGGATATTCAAGTCAATTTGAACAACTATTTGATCAAAATTTGCTACTTTCACAATCAATTGAATTCCCATCCTAATCACTTGCAATTCGTTGACTTCATTCGTTTGATCAAATAGGCGACGCGAAGCTAGCCTCTCACTTGGAATTTGAACGTGACAAACAAATCATCAAGCTATATAATTGCTACCAATAATTTGCTGTTTTGTTATCATAAGTTATAACAATTATTACAGTTGTGATGATTTTTAAAAAAGTTAAATATAAAGGTGAATACTTTGGATATATAAGAAAAAAAAAATAATGAAGTAATAATTTAAAATGTATTAATTTTTATTTTTATAATTTAAACAAATAGTTTAAATAAATAAAAAAAATCTACTGAGTTTTAATTTTGAGAATTTTAAAATTAGAATTGTAAGTCTATTAATAAAATTGATATCAATTTATTATTATATTTAGTGTAATTATTATATTAAAATACTATATGAAATTTAATAAAATAGAAAAACCAATAAAATGATATGAAAAAAAATAATTTAAAATAACCATAAAATAATATTTTACAAAATAAGTGAAAATATAACATATTATAAAAATATTTTTATTTATTAGAGTAGATCTTTCATACCAACTAAACTAGTTAGCGATTATATAAGATTAGAGTTTAATGTTTGTTATCATCATAACAAACGACATTAACATTAAATGACATTAACATTAAATGATAGGCACAAGCAAATAATTCACCGAAAAATAATAAAAAATTCATGATTTTTTAGATAAAGTAATTTTAGGGGTGAGCAAAATTGAATTTGGAAACTGAAAAACCGAAACCATAGTATAAACGACGGTTTGTGTTTTTCAAAAACAGGAAATTTCTTTTTGGATTCGGTTTGGTAAAATTTAAGAAATAAAAAAAAACGAACCAAAGTTCATAGAATACATAATTTTTTTTATACATATTATATATAAATCAATGTAAATAAATCACAAGTATCACGTTGGTTGAGTTGGTAAACCATTCGACGTTGCTACGAGAGGTTTTGTGCTCAAAAATTTCTGGGAAAAATTTGTGAAATGACAAAAAAGTGGGGGTGTTTGAAAAAATGATATAAGAAAATGACCACGAGTTCTGCAAAGAATGTAAATAATTGTTCTTCAAACACATGCCTATCAGGAATTGTAATTCGCATAACCATGGACAAAAGACGTTTTTTGTAAGTTTTTTCGATTTCAAACACATTTTTTTCAATTTCAAACACAATTTTTTCGCAGCACCCTTTCAAATTTGTTAAGTTTTCTTTGTGTTTATACTAATTTACCAATGCCAATAGTCACTTCCTCAGAGCTTTTTAAATTCCTCAGAGTTAAAGTTCCGCATAGACCCTCTCTACAGAACTCATGATCATTTTCTGAAACATCAATTTTCTTGGTCATTTTTTTCAAACATCTCACCTTTTTTGTTATTTCACAAATGTCCTATCTTTCTAACGTCCAAATTCTCCTTATCTTCATAGAGTCGTCCCATATCATCCGTCACACAATTACACAACTTCACCCTCGACAACTCTTATACACTGATTAAGAAATCTCACATTGGCCATTGCATACAACATCAAACCCTTTCTATGTAATGACTTGCAAGACGTATAACTTAGGTTGTGATTGGGTATTGTGTTTAAACCCAAAACTAAAAAACAAACCCATCGGGCTTAGGTGTTGGGTTGGGTTTTAAATATATGAAAATCGATACTAGGTCGAAAGTGGTCCCTACCTAAGTATTTTCATGTACTATGCAGTGTTTGAGGAGTCTCACATTGACCATTGCATACAATACTAAACCCTCTCTATGTTATGAATTGCAAAACTTATAACTTAGGCTCTGATTGGGTATTGGGTTTAAACCCAAAACCTGAAAAACCGAATCCATCGGGTTTAGGTGTTGGGTTGGGTTTTAAATATATGAAAATCGATACTAGGTTGAAAGTGCTCATGCGTAAGTATTTTCATGTAAGTGAAAGTCCAAACTCATGACCCTTTATTCGCAATAGTCGTGGTTCTTTTGTGATAGCTATGAAAGTATCGTTATTGATATTCATGCTTTATAAATAGTTATTCTAGTGAAATTGTCTTTTTTGTTCCAGCTAAATAAAGTATTTATTTATTTATTATAGAATGAAAAGAAATAAAATTATAAAACTTACTATTTACTAAAAATACAAAAAAACTTCCGAAAATTTTAAAATATAATTAATATATTGTTCTTGTAAAAACAACATATGATACTAATATTACAACTTTATATATATTTTTTTAATCCTGAATATTGGATTGAATTTCTCTAAAAATACGAATTGAAAACATTTCAATAAATTCCGATTGCTCTGACAATCAATAAAAGTTTACACCCAGATATCTCATAAAGATATATTTTCTCCTCAAAACTCATCTACAACATTAAAGAAAAAAAAAAGACAAAGAAAAATAGCATCTTCTTGTATCCTGCCAAAGATTGTGTAGTTGCCACCCGAGATAGTCTCAGTGCTTCATTTACCACCACAAAACTTGATACCACAACAACCACCACCACCACCTACTCCTCCGCCTTGATTCCCACTGCCAAGGGTGGTGGTGGCGATATTAAATTTCACCGGAGCTTCATGTATGTGGGAATCTAAAAAAATGGAATATATGAATAAAAATAGTGTCACAAAAGTGATGAGGATTGGTTTGATTATAAAGAATGAGTTTTTGAGCAAGTGGCAAGAGTATATGTGAAGCATATTCTTCTAGCATTAACTATGAGTGACTGTTTTTCATTATACTTTTGTAATATATTCCCCATGCTTATAATTATTAATAAATATGTGGTTATGGAAAGCAATATAAATTATAAAAAGTAGGAAGGGAAAGTATACCAATTCCATAATATATAGGGAATTAGTTATTGGATTTTTGGTTTTGCGTTTGTAATAGATTCATATACGAATTCAACCTATTATGTAAATATATTATAATTAATGTTTTTTCGTGATTTAAGAGAAAATCAAATGGTCTCGTAGCTCAGTTGGTTAGAGCGTTGGTCTTATGAGCCGAAGGTCGCGGGTTCGAGCCCCGCCGAGACCATCGTGTACAATTATGATCTATTTGTGATTAATGATATTATTTTATTTTTTCAACGAGTTATGAAAATGGTTCCTCAGCTATCTATTGTCATGTATTTTTGGTCCCCTAGGAATATATTTTTTACTAATAGTGACAATTTCTACCATAATGACAATTCAAATAAACGAATCAATCACGTTTTTATATACTTTTACCTTTTTAAAGAGTTATAAAAATGATTCATCAAACTATATTTGTCATTTATTTTTGGTCCTTAAGGAATACGTTTGCACTAATGATCATTAATTTTACAATCATATGATAGCTAATCTCGAGATTATAAATAAGCAAATGGCCCGGTTACATGTTAGAATTGATTCATCCGATACCTACATTATTTTGAATTAGTCACACCCCTTTGAACTGTTATTATTAGTTAAATTTTGATAAACTCATATTTATTTATGGATTTTTATGATTTTAGATATTGTGCAGAATTACTTATTTTCATGATTTTCTGTAGTTTTGATAAACTCATATTTTGAGTTACTTATTTCTATGATTTTTGGTTCCTTAGGAATATTTTTGCACTAATGACCACCAATTTTGCCATCACATGACAGCTAATCTCGATATTATAAATATGCAAATGGCCCCGTTACATGTTAGAATCCATTCATCCGATACCTACTTTATTTTGAAATAGTTGCACACTTTTGAACTATTATTATTAGTTATTGTGTAGAGTGGCTATTTCTATTTTTTAGAAGTCGATATGAAATTGAACATGTATATTTAGCTAATAGTAATGCTTAATATTTTTTATTTATTTTTTATTTTTTTTACAAATATGTAAAAATAACAATTGCGAGTTTGAGCCATACCGAGACCATATATAATGATATTTTTAATTAGTCGCACTTTATATATCTCATTTTTTCCAAAAATTATGAAAATGTTTCATAAACTATTTTTTGTCATGTATTTTTGGTACCTTAGGAATATTTTTGGTACCTTAGGAATATGTCTGCAGTTTTACACTAATAGTCACTAGTTATAGCATTGTCATTTGATAGCTAGCTTGATGCTAATCATCCTCCATAAGAAATAATTTTTTTATATGTATCAATCTTTCATAAGTTTTGATACTTATCATTTTATAGTGTTTTTGAAATATATATGATCCAATTGTTAATTTTTGATTTGCTTCAATTTTTAAAATTAAAATGATACTTATATATGTAAAGTATTAAATATAATATATATATATATATATATATATATATATATATATATATATATATTAAGTTGCAATAAATATATTTCTTCCTTTCTTATTTTAAAGTTGTACATTAAAAAATATTTTTTTTTTACATTTTAATTTAATAATTAATCTTTTTTTTTTTTTAAATTAACCCGTATAACACATGAATCTCACATTTAGTGAAATTATAAATAAGAAGATGACCAATTACATGTTGGGATTGATTCATTCGATACCCACCTTGTTTTGAATCACTAATTGTTAGTCTTATAGGTTAAATTTTCATAAATTTCTATTTGTTTTATGTAGTTTCTATGTTTTTAAATAATTTTAGGTATTATGTCGAGTGAACTTGAAAATGGTTCCTCAACCATTTGTTTTATGAGTTTCTATGCTTCACACAGGGACGGATCCACAATAGATCTCGGGGTATCCCATGATGCCCCTAAAAAAATTCTAATATTGTAATGTTTTTAGAAAAGTTTTGTTGTAAATATATTTATATGTTTAGCGAGATAATAACAAAAGTTGTAGTTTTTTCAAATGGTTAAGGTGTTAGGGGGGTGTTTTTGGAAGTTGTAAGTTCAAATCTCTTTTCGAACATTTATATTCCTTATTTTCGCAGCTCCTTTTATATAACTTTATGC